TTAATGCTTTACCCAAATTTAGCAAGAAGTCATAAATAAATCCCATACAGACAAGCAAAGTATGCTTTTAATTTCCTGAAAATTGTTGTATTTGTAGTTGTATTCCAAAATGATGGTACAGACTTTAACAAAATCACTAGTGTAAGGATTTTAAACATAACGAAATTGACAGGAACTGAAGAAAGCCAAGGCATGTCAATTCAAGAAAGCTAAGTTTATCCAGCTGTTCAAGATGTAATTAACTTTTCCTGTATTTTGTCTGTAGAGATAAATTAAGATTCTTCTTACTGAAAATACTATTAGAAAGACACATTTCCTTACTAGGTCAGACATCTGAAAACAAACACAATTATCAAAACATGATCTATTTCTGAAAAGCAAAAAGAACAACACATTTTAAATGGGATAACAGTGTAATACTAGGATAGAATAAAGAACAAGATGGAAAACTTAAAATATTGTCCCCTAGCTATACCGCATTCTGCAGTTGCAAATAATCACTACAAAATTGTTTTCCCTGCAAACACATCACAACATTTTGGTTGTTACTGGGCAGGAAAACTAGCACAATTTTTTTTTCAGTGTACTAATTCATTGTGAGTAATTCAATGCAAATAAAACAGCCCACTAACTCTACTAAAATTAGGTTCTGTAAAGACAGACAAGTTCTTCAGAAAAAGAAAAGAAGAAGTGAAAACTCTTGCTAAAAAATTGTTCACTTCTATTCATAAGGGCAACAGATAGCATCACACCGTATGCACCAATTTAATCTGCCATTTATAAAACTCACTTTTAAAATATTTTCTATCACTTTCAGTGGAAGTTTAAATTTTCCAACAAAAACCTCTCAGAAAAGCAAAAGATCAATTCAATAAATATGTAAGTTGCTTTGAAAGTTATGCCTCCTTTTAATTTCCACAGAAACTACAGCAGACACCACTCACTATTTAACAGAGCAAATTCTCTGCTACAATATACTATTTTTCAAAGGTCACCACCATTAGCTGTGTGCAGTCTTCAAACTGGTATGAGGCCAGGTGTGAAAGGCTGTCTTCCTCTGACCTGACAGTGGAAGTTCAAGTCTTCAGTTTAGTCAGCATCACAACTTATCAGTCAGAGTTGATCGTTTCTCTAGATTCCAGGAAATCTAGAAGGATCATCCCCTTTTTGTCTGTCAGAACAAATAGTACATACCACTTTAACTGCTAAGAGCTACCACTTTAACTGCTAAGAGCTGCATCTTGAACTTTTTTCTACAGCAGGCAATTTATGCTGTCACTCCATGAACTACTGGTTTGACTTTAGCTTGTAGTGGTGACACACCATAGCTCATCACCAGTAATGATGTGATCCAGGAAACTGTCACCTTCAGCCTCATCCTGTTTCAACAGGTCCCGAGAAACTTGAATGTGGTGTCCTTCTATTCCCAGATGAGCCTTCATTGGATCTACCTGGAGCAAACTGATATTTCAACGTTGCCACCATTGTTTCCAACATACTGAAGCCAATATTATGTTTCTGTTGCCTGGTTTTGATCTGCTGATTCATGAAAAGAGCTAACTGAGATGCTCTTCCTTTTGTACTGTGACAGCTGAGCATGGCCACTGGAATTCTGCGTGTCTCTTACACTGCAGTTACCACTGCTGAAACTCAACACTCACCCACCGCTGTGCTCATAAACACTGTTTGGTCTCCATAAATCTTCAGCAAACATTGATGAACGTCACTGGGTGCCTTTTTTTCTGCATGGAGGAATTCAATGACACACCTTTGATCCACATGCACTTAATAGTCAGACGTCATTTGTCAGACTGCCATGTGTTACATGGCAACAAAATGTAATGAGATATCAGTGGGAAGGTTCAACCTCTACTGCCACAACACTAATATCCACCCCAGATGTTGTGGGCCAGCATAATAAAATAGGAGGCAATATTTTCAGAGCAGCCCTCATAATTTTTGCATAATGTGTTCAAAAAACAATATCTCAAATACATATACAGAAGGAATACGTGAAAAGGCTGAAAAACCTACATACGTATCATATATATGTATATTCATATTCAAACATGACCTGAAATGAAACATGGGAAGTGATATCTCATTTTCCTTCTTCAATCCTGAACAACAAATTGCCATTAGTTTGTGTAAAAATAAATGGGAAGATGGACAGATACCATCTAGCCAAAAAAACAGTAAAAAAAACTACTGACTGTTCATTTAGTGTTTTAATGCAGGAATGGAAAAAGGGGGTGTGAGGGAGAGGAGAGAAGGAATGGGGGAAAGCCCAAGAATCTTTCATGCAACTTTTACAAAAAGATGCTTTTTCAGCATCTAGCAAAGGACACGTTCAAATTCTCTTTTCCAATCTGCAGTTTTGTCTATTAGATGTTACTACAAACTTTTCTATCCAGATATTTCAATGACCTACATTCTAAAGTACTAAAGCTATTTACTCACATTTTCATGCCTCTTTCTTGACAAACAAACTATAGAGAGCATGAGAGAAAACACTCCTAACTTTCCTAAACTTCAATATATTCACTGTTACCATAGTGGCCCACTGTAAAACTTTCAGGCAACACCAACAATTTGCTTACATGCTCAGTATTTAAAACACTTTCAAAGGAACTTTAATTAAGCTGAAGATCGTCTTACTGTCTTATCAAATTAGAAGTAACATAAAGCATCAAACTCTTTCTAGTTATTTAGTGAAAAATGCCAAAATGCCTAATGTGAATACTTCTTCAGGTCTGGATTTTTCTCTCTTAAAAAAAAAAACAAAAACAAAAACAAAAACAATTGATTGCCCCCATTTAACCACAGCTCATGAAGTATTTCCAGTAACTTCAGTCCAATAAAGGATTAGAAATAACTTACAGCTACAAAATCCTCCTAAAAATCTTACACAGCGGCTAAGTGAAACAACATGTTGCTTCTTGCTTTGCAGTCCAATAAAAGGACAAGTTGCAGCATGAAACAGTGCTCACTGAAGGAAATTATTTATTCATTTCTAGATATTTTACTTCTCTTTTTTTAACCAAGCCTTGAGGTTCTACTTCATTTCAAAGGCAATTAAATAATCAAGCATACAAATATCTCCATGAAGTGCCTAATTAAACACTTATTCTTCAATAGTCTGTCAGTTACCTGCGAAAAGAAACCGGTTTTCACCCATTAACATTCAGCCAAGTCAAGATCTGACCTAATATTATTAAGTGCATACAGACCCTCCTGAGAAACAACATATTTCTCACTGTTTTCTTTTTGCAGTGTGTTGTTTTTTCTTGTTTTTCTGTGTGTGTTTTTGTTTTTCCTTCCCCGCTCTGTTTCCAATTCTATGGCCATTAGTTAGGATTCAGTTTTAAAAAGGAAAAATGTTTTATACTCTTCTTACATTAGAAAATCTCAAAACTTTAAGGGATGAAACATGCTGCTTATACAAATCAAATATATGAAAAATGTTTCAAACTTTGTATACTTTATTTCTCTTTCTGATAAAGAATTTGCAAAGCCCTTTTCAAAACCAATTATATTGTATCTGATCAGTAAAGCTGTAGAAATGCAATGATCTGATGGAGAATTTAGCGTAGTTTACAGAATAATTGCTACCATCAAAAATTGGTACAAATCAATTTGAAATAAAATTCCAAACTACTGACAGTTCTTTCTATGCCAGAACAAATGCATATTAACAGAAAGAGGAGTTCCAAAGAATACATTTGATTGATACTTCATGAAAGCAGTCACCTAAAAAATAAGGAGGAAAACATTACGGTATTTATTGCCTTTTTTGCTTCAGTATATAATGTTATTGATTGATATGCAGTAGTCTAGTCATCTGAGGTGGTGGACCATAACGAGGAGAGCAGTAACTTTTCATCTGCGGTCACTGAAATTCTAAGGTAACAGTTCTATCAGCTAAATGTCCACAAATTAACAGGGTCTGATGGGATTCACCCCAGAGTACTGAGGGAGTCACTTGATGCTGTGACTGTCTAGACTCCTTTCAATAGTTTACCAAAGTTTTTGAGAGCCCGACGAGGGCCCTGCTGACTAGAAGCTAGCTAGTGCTATACCCAGCTACATAAAGTACACTAGGGTATGCCCAGAAAACTACACATCTGTCATCTAAACTCAGTCCCTGAGAAAGTTATTGAAAAGATTATCCTGGGGGATACTGAAAGGCATTTAAAGAGCATAGCCCTGCCTTACTCATCTGATCTCCTATGTTAAGATCACCTGGTTGGTGGATAAAAACAAGGTGTCAGATGTCATCTTTCTGGATTATAGTAACAGTTCTGATAATGTCTCCCAAAGCATCCTTTTGGACACATAATCGAAGCATGAGATAAACAGATTCATTCTACAGTTTGTGATGAACTGGCTGAACTGCAGAGGTCAACAGGCTGCAAATGGCACTACATCTGGCTGGTCAGACACTAGTGGTGCTCATCAGAGCCATTCTAGGGCCAGTTCTATTCAATATTTTTATCAGTGATCCAAATGCTGGAGTAGAATGCACCTTCAGCAAGTTAACTAATGCTAAACTGGGAGATACTGTTGGACACAAGGCCTTGCAGAGGAATCTAGACAAACTGCAACACTGGGCAAGCAGCAATGGCATGAAACTCAACCAAGGTAAATGCTAGGTTCTGCACTGGGATACAGTAATGAAAGACTGTATTAACTAAACCAAACAGAAAAATGCAATGATAAATTCCAAAGCACTCGAGTGTCACAGAACAACCCATCCTTTATAAAAACAGCAGGGCAAGTAACCTCTGTTGCAGTTGAGACATAGCTTTTTTTCTAGCATTCTAAAAGATCAAGTCCAACTCTTTGAGGCAAATTCTGAAGAAGTAATGCATCATGAGTCATATTTATCAATATAAACATTTGTGGATATCTTTCTACCTATCAAGCATTAACCAAGCATGTTGATTTAATCTTTTACAGATTATGTTTTAAAAACATTGTTTAAAGGATAGTTTACATACCCATCTCATTAATAGTTGCTCTTGCTTTTGAGACAAAAGAACCGACTTCGCTTGAATGCATTTTCGCTCTTTCTTTAAGGTCAGCGCCTGTAAGTGACATTTCACATACATGTTAGCAAACTGTATGCAGTACTGTACATTTGTTTTTAGAAGTGAAATATAGCCGTGTATTAAAAAAAAAGCCTACTTTGAGACATTAAGGATTCAAATTGGTCATTTCATTCATTCATTTTCCACAGATTGCAAGGAAAACACAGGATTTCATCATAGGAAAAAGTCAAATTACACAGCAGATTTTCATTAATTTTGCTCTTTGCAGTGGTGTTACTTCTTCTCATATTAATAAACAATAAAGCTAGGTTAACACTTCATCTGACATGTACTTCTATTTTCTCATCTGTGTCACAAAGTATAATAGTTACGCCATTTTCTTATTGTGTCCTTGTTGCTATTCTTTTACTGGAATATGAAGAAGTACTTAGGATGCATATTTCTGCAGTAACAGACAATATTTATCTAACTAAAAACTTCTACACTGAGCCAAGTACAATTTCTCAACCAAACAATCAATTAAAAAAACAAAAAAACAAAAAAACAAAAAAAACAGTTTTATGTTTCTCTACCCTAAGAATGAAAATACCAGGAAAACGCATCAGACTTCAGCTGAGTCAAAAATTTAACTCTGACTTAAAACTAAGCAGTCCTATGTTCCTCTTTTGTATCTTTCTGGACTCAATTCTGGACTTAATTTTTATAAAATAAAAAATTAAAAGAATATCTATATGACACTAAAGTGTCTCATTTCACCTTTGTTATTCTATGTATGTCAATGAGGCACACTTTTGCATGTTTCCCAATAAATAACATAATGTAGCATTCATAACATCAGATATCTTTTAAAACACTCCATGGAACTGATGTACTGCAATTGAAGAGAGAGGGCAGTTAAGCAGTGTACACCTGAAATTGCAGTCAAGTGCGCGCTGCAGCGAAATGCTAGAACTCTTTACAATTGCTACCTTAGTAATTCAAAGTGCATACAAAAATCTTGACAGGAACCTCAAAGGCAAACAAAATTGGCATTCATAAATCTGAACTGACATTCAAGTAATACAAAGCTGCAAACTACCTTCACAAATGCATTATTATATAGAGTTCTGCTACTGAAAGGATCTTTACAAAACTCAGTGACAATACCTACTATAAAAGTTACTGATATAGGAATTGAATAACTAAAACATTTCTATTTCAATAGTTAATGTTTGGGATTTGCTTTTAGGACTTTGTCTAAAAGCATACTACTACCTATATAATAAGATGCCGATACACTGAAATCCTGCTCACATGGCATGCCATTGAAAAGTAATTTTCAAAGGAAAGGCTGTGGACCAAAAAATCTACATGGTCCCTCACCACATCCTTCTCTCTAAATTGAGGAGGTATGTATTTGAAGAATGGACTGTTTGATGGATTAGGAATTGGCTGGCTGGACGCAGCCAAAGGGTTGTGATCAATGATTCTGTACCAGGGTGAAGGCCGGTCACAAGCGGTCCCACAGGGTTATTCTTGGGACCAGTGCTCTTCAACATCTTCACCAATTACATAGCTGAGTGCATCGGGTGACCTCAGCAAGTTCGTGGATAACACCATGCTGAGCGGTGCAGTCAATACACTGGAAGGAAGGGAAGCCATCCAAGTAGGACCAGGACAGGCTGGAAAAGTAGGCCCATGAAAACCTAAAGAGGTTCAATAACATCAATTACAATGTGCTGCCCTTGGGTTAGGGCAATCCCAGGTATTCACACAAACTAGGGGAAGATCTCCTTGAGAGCAGCCCCATGGAGCTTTGATAGATGAGGAGCTGGACATGAGCCAGCAGTGTGCACTTGCAGCCCAGAAGGCCAACTGTGTTCTGGGCTGCATTAAAAAAGAGGCGGCCAGCAGGGAGAGAGAGGTGATTGTCCTCCTCTACTCAGCTCTTGTGAGGCCCCATCTGCAGCACTGCATCCAGGCATGGGGCCCCCAACACAAGAGAGATGCAGAGCTCTTGGAATGGGTCCAGAGGTGCGCCAATAAGATGATCAGAAGGCTGGAGCACCTCTCCTCTGAGGAAAGGTTGAGGGAACTAGGATTGTTTAGCTTGGAGAAGAGAAGGTGCCGGGGAGACCTCACTGTGAAGGGAGCATATGAACAGGAGGGGGAAAGGCTGTTTACAAGGATGGACAGTGATAGGACAAGGGAGAATGGTCTTAAACTGATACAGGTGAGATCTAGGTTAAGATATTAGGAGGAAGGATATTAGACAGTGGTGGCACACTGGAACAGGTTGCCCGAGGAGGCTGTGGATGCCCCATCCCTGGAGGCATTCAAGGCCAGGCTGGATGTGGCTCTGGGCAGCCTAGTCTGGTGGTTGGTGACCCTGGATATAGCAGGGGAGTTAAAACTAGATGATCATTGTGACCCTTTTCAACCCAGGCCACTCTATGATCTATGATTTTATGATTTCATGTTTTCATCTTGCTTTGATAGCCGTGAAGAAGCATGCAGTTCAACCAAAGACTTCTGTTCTCAGCTGTTTTGAAGATCTCCCCTGTAATCCCAAGTAGTGCTTCAGAGTATCTGCAAATAATATTTGCACAAGTCCTGACAGCAACAAGGTAGTTAAAATTTTCAAATAAAAATAATAATAGTAAGACTAAATCTCTGCAACTTCCCCATGGATCACAGCTAAAATATGTGGCTATGTTGACCTATCTACTTCCCCACATTCACCACCATAGAGGAAATGCTAAGTCTTGGCTTGAAACAGTGACTGAACACCTGGTAGGAAGGCAGGACAAATCCAGTAGAGCTCAGGTGTATGCAGTGCACCTGAGTGAATGGAAAGGGTGAATCCTGGCTCCACCCCTTTCCAAACTTCCTTTAAGGGTTAGCAATGGAGGCAAGGGTATCTCTCTGGAGATCCCTGCATACTTGAGTACTCTTGAAGGGAAGCAACTTCTTTCCTTTATTTCTATACCCACTACTGTTGTATTTGAGTAAAAACTCACACAATGCAGTCTGGGATCTTGCTACTCTGCTGTTACTGTTGCTCTTCCCATTGCATTACAACTCCCAAAAGACTTTAGGAATTGTACTGTGTGTCTGCACTGTACTAAAGCAGGCTTCTGTATTGCCTTTTACCCAAAGGGGCCAGAAAGGAAAATCCTGAATTACAAGTAAACTAAATCCAACTACCTGCTGCAGGGCATACACTTTAATTGCATCCCCACATGCACCCAGTTTGTACTAACGCATGAATCATTGTTTTATCTGTATTCTACTTTCTGTTATCTTGATAATTAGTCTCACAAATTCAACCCTATCCATTCAGAAATACAGCTAAAACCAGCTGAAAGTACCTGTCATTCTAGAGTTTACGCTCACCATTTCTAACTTGTCAGTACTTTACAATACTTCACAAACTCCCTTTTCAAGACTACGCAGTGTCATGTTCAGATTACTAGCAGTTGTTCATACAGGCCAAAAGAGACATCTTATGAACAGTACAACCTACAGCTTCCTCCTAAAGCTATACAAGGAGCAGAGCAGCAAAGAAACTCTACTTGAATTAACAATTCAAAGAAACATCACATCTAAATTTATGAAACAAACCAATGAGAGACAACTTTCATGCAGATTTCTCATTAGCTTCAAAACTGCAGTCTGAACATCATTCCTTTGAAGATCAGCTTGACCGGAAATATATAAACAACATAGTATACACAGATCAACCCTTGAAACTACTCTAAGGAAGACGTGCCATTTTAAATATTACCAACATATCTAAAGAGATCTGTCAATCTTGAAGAATCTTTATTTCACTTTAACATCACTCTATTTTCCCACAGAAACAGGGGAAGCATGGAACTGTTTGTTTTGGTTAATAGAAAAACCTTACTTATACTGAGTGTAAAAACTCTGATGCAATTAACATCCTGCTTTTTTTGTTTGTTTGTTTTAAATTGGCTATTCATTTCGTGGCTGTTCCACAGTGTCACTCTAGTGAGGTTTTCTGCAGCGTTTTTGACTTCCACTTCACAATGAAACCACAGAAGAGGAAAGGATGTGACTCATGCACAGGTATTTAAGGTACAGTAAAATATTAAATTCTTATTCTAGTGTAGTTACTTTGAGCTTATTTTTGAGCTTTGATCTGGTAAAAAGAAAGCAGGCCAATCCTGTTTGCACTCCAAAACTTAATTAAGGAAGTGACTTCCAAGAGCACGAGAAGATGATCTTGTGCAGATTCTATCCAATTTCTCAGTATCTTGTGCGCAAGAACCACAGAAGTAGGAATACAGGAAACTGCACAGCACAGAGGCACCATGTGCAATACATTTAACAACCCCAGCAACAGTTTAATAAGGAAATTATGAGCTATAACTATGCTTTCAAGTAGGATAACAAAAGATCTACTACTTCTCCAATTACAATGTTAAAAATTGCAGTGTAATCCACAGCTTATTCCCACACAGAATAATTATGCAGTCTGTGAATTAATATTCTACTCTCTCCACGTAGGAAAATATGATACTGAATTAAAATTCTGAGGCAAAAGGCCAACTTCTAACGAAGTTATTGTTCAACTTATAACTACTAAAAAAAAAAACACTAACAAGGGCACCTGTAAAGGCAGATGTATACATCTCCAAGAGAAAGCAATGCAAGAAATCAATCCAAGTCTAGCTGAAAGAAATAGCAGACTGGTGTAACAGCTGTTCTTTGCCAGTTGCTTTGATAGTGCAACAACCTAGAGAGTAACCAATAGATGTTAGAGGATCACCTCTTCAAGTACTTGCAGATGCATCTCATCAGATCCTTCACATCTGTGTATCCAGCTTGTACAAACTGATCTTACTTTAGTTCTCCCGCAGTACTGGGGATCTGCTCTTTACTTTGTTGTTGCCTCTTGGCAGAGACTTGGGAGCGGACCATTCCTATGCTGACCAAAGCAAAGAGAACCTGGAATACTTCAGTCTCTACAGTCATTTACCACTAAGCTGTCAGGACCACACCTACAGTTTCTCTTGTAATCCTTGACACTT